AAGTCAGTAAAATATGATGGAGGCAGGGGAAAACACAGGGAAGGGTGTAAGAGTTAAAGACAACAGAAGTAAATGCTGGTGCATATACATAATCTATGGGTGAATGCATGGATAAATATTCAAGGTAAAGGGGTATGTGAGAGAGACTGGGACTATACCCATGGGCTTGACAGAAGATATTTCTAAATGTGAATTTAACTGTGCTGCAAATATATCCAAGAATGTGGTGGAGCATATAAAAGCAAAAGACAAAACTCACATCCACCTAGTTGATTCTGACCCACAGAGACCTTATATAAGTTCCGGAGACTAAATCTTTATGGGAGCAGATAGCCACATCTTTGTCCCAAGGAGCATCTTGTGAGTTTGAACTGCCAATCTTGCGATTAGTAGCTCACCATTAACCCACAGAGCTGTACAGGGGGCAGAGTTATGAAATGTCTTAGACATACCCCCAAAATCTTCAAGGAATTATTAGTTACAGGACTTGGGGGTTTGGGACCATGTACTGGGGATACACCAAGGCCAACTGGCATAACACAGTCCACAAAAAAAATGTTCTGCATCCTACTTTGGTGAGCAGTGGCTGAGGTCTTAAAAGCTTGTGAGCAGTCATCTAAGTAGCAACAATTGGTCTCTCCCTGTCCAGAGGAGAGAAAAATGAAGAAAATGAAGATACATGGAAACAATTAGCCCACTGAGGACATCAATCTCCACAACGCTGAGACCAAAAGAACTAGATGGTGTCCAGTCACTGAAAATTGCTCTGAAAGGGATCATATTAGAAGGTACTAGATTGAGTGGGTGAAAATGTGAAATAAAATCAAATCATAAGAAAGACCAGCCTTACTGGTCAGAAGACTGTGATGAAACCCCCACCCCCACCAACCCCCCTCAAGACTATGGTCCTTAGTCACCTTTCTGGTCTGTAAATGAACTCACCCTCATGGTTGAATTTTCAACTCAACTATAGACAGGTCTAGAGCTCTGGTAGCATAGTGGTTGCAAATCAGGCTGCTAATCTCAGGGTCATTCAAAATGGCCAATACCAGCCCATTTTAGCTCACTAATGCCTAAGATATCGATGTTTATGCATTCAATTTCATTTTTGACAACTTCCAATTTTCCCAGATTCATAGTTCATACATTCCATGTTCCGATTTTCAATGGATGTTTACAGCTGTTTCTCTTCATTTTGAGTTGTGCCCCATCAGCAAATGAAGGTTCTGTGGGCTTTTCTCCCACAAGCTTAACTCCATTCATGTCATCATGGTCAACTCTACCTTGAGAAGGCATCTCTTCCCCAGTCTACATTTTGAGTGCCTTCCAACCTGAGGGGCTCATTTTCTGGCCCTGTATCTGACAGTGTATCTCTGTTATTCATAAGGTTTTCAGTGACTAAAGATTCGGAAGTAGTTCGTCACTCTTTCTTCCTAGTCTGTCTTTGTCTGGAAGCT